GCATTCTTTGTAAGTGGGCAAACCTGCAAAATCAGCAAGGGGTCAAATACTTATTTCCCCCACTGTAACTGTAAACTGAGAGAGAAAACGACTTAAAAACTCTGGTTGAGAGGGGACTTAATGGTTGTGTGCAGATTTAGACATAATGTGAAATTAGATGAGGAACCTTTTTAGTAGTTTTAGGTCAAAACTATCTGATTTATCCAAAACAAAGATGCCAATGCTAATGCTGTTTGGGATCGGACTTAAAATAAAACTGTATCTGGAGTCTTGATCTGCATTTTCTCCAAGGGATGTCCCGATCCAGCTTTTTCCATTTCCAATACGATCCAATCCCGGCCTATCAGAGCATGTGTTAAAGTTTAAAGTTCTTTATCTACTTACTTAGTTATCAGACTCATGTTGAACAGGGATTTACTCTGATAACAACTTAATGGTTAGGACACAGACCTGTGGGTTACAGATGCTAATGCCAATGCTAATGTGGGATCAGACTTAAAAAAAAAACTGGATCTGGAGTCTGGATCTGCATTTTCTCCTGCCGGCAGATACGATCCAGATATCGTCCCGTTTCTGACTCCAGTTTCCTCTTTTCTAGCTGCTCATCCTGAAGAACCTGCAGAGCAACACCCAGCAGCACCTGGATCTGGTGGCCGAGCTGGTCTCTGAGAAGGTGAGGACACCTCTGACAGAAGCTAAAGTCGGGCGTACTGCCCCTTTTTAAAACTATTTTTCCCCTCGTGGTTAGGGCTGTCACGATACTAACATTTTCAACTCCATACCGATACTCAGGAAAATATTCGATACCATTTTCGATACTACAAGGATAAAAACAAAGACCCCAAAATTTAAGAAAATGTATGAATCTTGACAGGTTAGTGTCTTTCATTTCAAACTGACCTGTTCCTGATGTTATGGTGGCCCACATTAATGACCCTAACCCTCCATTCTTCATAATTGTGAGAAATAAATATTTTTTGGTTAAACTTGTTTGCACTTATTGTACAAACCTATTTAACATCCACTATTTTAACATAATATTATGGATAGAGTTTAATTCAGTGTTTGAAAGATTCATTTAACTATTTTTAAATGTCTATATTGCCATGAAGCAATTAGCATTTTCTTGCCTGGGATCTTCCTATTGGTGACCTAATCAAAATGGCCGACTTGGATGTGGGGGAGTTGGATATCCATCCTTGGCTTCCTGCAGACTTGATTAATGTTGGCGTGTTATTATTAGCCATTAGCCGCAGCTAGCAATTCAAGGCTAACGTCATGTTAATGATCATAAACGTAAATAAATAAGAGAGAGAGGGGTGGGGGTATCGATACTTTTGAATGTGAGCATCGTATCCGGATACAAGTTTTAGTATTGATACTTTTTTGAG